TAAATCGTTCAGTATCAACGTTTTAAATTTACTAGTCTCTTTTCGAGAGCATATTTTCGGGCACTAGACCCATTCTAACTGCCCAAGACAGGTATGTAATTAAAGGAATGTTCCCCAATAACACCAGAGTAAGTATATGTAAAAAACAAATTTTTAGCTGCATTTTAACATGTCAAGAAAATAAAAAAATTGAGAACATCAGCGTTTTTATAAAAAACCGACCAGCGCGACCTCTAAGAAAACTTTTTTTTTTTTAATAAAAAAACACGTATCTCATTTTTTATCACAAATAACAATAATTTGAGGTAGCGTTCATGAATTTACAAAAAAAAAAAAAAAATTGAAAACCACTCTAATGTATATCCGTTGGATTTGCATTTTTTTTCGAAGAACACTATTTTTGACCAATTTCTTTAAGGTCAAGGAGTAATTGTGGCTCCATGAAAGGCAATTACATTTGGTTTCAAAGCCATTTTGTTTTATATCAAAATATCGTATTTTCCAGTCGAGAAATGTAATTTTGAAATTTTCAAATTACTACGGTGTATTTTGTTCTCAAAACCATATCTATGACTCAAAGCATATGATTTGTAAAAATATAATTCATTTATAAACATTATATAATGTAATAAAATAAAATGTCTATCATACTTAGGCGTATAAAATTGTTGATTCCTAATTCTAAATTAGGCCAGCACGGGAAATACGCTAGTTTGGTTTCATTTGATCAAGATTTAGCTATTAGCTTGTGATGGTTAAATAAAACACGTCTAATAAATATGAAAACAATTAATGGAGAAAGACGGTTTCTTCTTTGTGAAATTATAGTTCCTGCTTTAGAAATAGTCGTTCACGAAGAACCAAGAACGCTAGAATGCAAAATAAACCCGCTGCATGCTTATATATAGCTGGAAGGAAGACGGACGAAGCAAGAATGATAGAATACAAGATTGCGTCCATCAGAGAGGATTTTTGAGAATAACTTTTGTGTGACGTCACACTGGTGCAATTGCAAGAGAGAAATGCCAAAACGCCAGCAAGAATGGAAGAAGTAGAAAAATGTTGCAAGGAAAACGTAAACAAGTTGCACAAGTGTGACGTCATACAAACAACGATTCTGTCAAATTCACTGAGAGAGGAGTAGCGGTACCGTGATGGGCGCAACCTCTATTTTTCTCAATCGTGCAGACGAAGTACAAGAACTACTCAGTACTTGGCACAGGTATTTGATTATATACTTCTTATTATTGGTATATGAACACCACTAGTCTCCTTTGTGTTCTGCGACACCCTAATGTACGCAGGTATTTATTAAATAAAAGGCGCAGAGCGTATTTAATAATTTGTAGCCATAACAACCAAAAATTTTTTTATATAAAAAATATTCTTAGCCAGCTGTCTAAACACTCCTCTGTTAAAAGCACTGCGTTTTAGTTTATGATATCCTTGTAGTTCCTAAGTAATTTTTACGAACTTTTTTTGCACTTCTACTTGTACGCAATCGCCGCTGCCGCCCAAAGGTCTATTTGACATCATTAATGGTTGTAAACATCAGCTAAATCTTAACGCAAATTTGAACGTCATTCAAGAAAAGTTGAGGAAGCGCCAACAAGTTGAAGTGCGAGAAAAAAACTTATGTATGTATGTAAGTATTTAGGGTGGTCCTTAAAAATCACAGGAACGATTTTTTCTGTCGGACCGCTTCAATCGGTAAGACCACTGTCATAGATATCACATATAAATTTTGATCGCCATTGGAGACGGTTAAGGCATGTCGGACAGAGGGCAAAGTTCAGATTCCTCTATGGAGACTCCTAAAATTAAAATTATTATATTTTTTTTTTTCATATACATAATACCCGAAATCGATGCTACCATAATCGGAATCTCGATTGGAGCCGATTAAGGCGTGTCGCAAAGGGGTCAAAGGCCAGATGCCTCTAAGAACTCAACAAATTAAAGAAAGTGTTTTTTCATTTAATGCCCAAAATCGATACTACTAAAGTCGAAGATAACGCATATAAATTTTAGTCCCGATTGAAGTCGGCTATGACGACATCATAGGGTAATCTGAACTTTGCCCCCTGTGCGAGACGTCTTAACCGTCTCCAATAGTAGCATCGACGTAGGGGTTGAGGCTTAGGAAATTTTCTCCCTACATTTAAGGCCCACCCTAATGTATATGTACTATAAATAAATAAAAAAAAAGTCTGCAAAACGTTAAATGAAACTTATAACCCCCAACAGCGTAAAAAATAGAAATGGATAGTAGAGAGCGTCTTGGATGAGGCTTGGATGGAGCTGACGGCGTGAAAGATGCCGTGCCGAAGACACGGATGACAAAAGTATAAGCTCAAGCGCGCTGTCAGTGGCAACGGCAACTAAACGGAAATTAATAAGCACATTCTAATGATTGTTGCAAAAGTTGTCTGCATATAAAGCTGTAGGATGGCTGTAATTGGGCGCTGGAGAGGTCATTAGTGGCGACAAGCTGAAGTTGATTTTCTTTGGCGATCTTAATATACTTTCCTCTAGAACTTTGTTATCTTTTTTTGCGTACGTACATAGATTATTGCCATGGTAAAATTTTATTATAATATGTAGGTATTATTATTATATTGCGAACTGCTGCAAAAGTTTTTTCCATTCCGTACTCTTCTCTACCCTTAATCACTTTAAGTGCAGTGAAGTTTTTATATATACATACATATGTATGTAACTTTAGCATTTCTTCAAACTAATGAGTGTAAAATAGAAGACTATAACTTTTTAGGAAAATTCTTTTTTTGTGCTATTTGGATGCAAAGAAATGAGAAAAAACAAGCAGCTTCAAAATCTCTACTAAAACCAAAAGCTGTGGGTTGAGTTGTTTTTGTGGTTTCTACTAAATATACTACCTATGTACATATCTACTCACCGCCATCACAGGGAAAACTCTCAGCTAACACGGTGAATAATTTATCCGCGAGCAGGCAGCGTCCTCTGGGTCCCAATGGCACACGACACACCGGACATTTGAGCGAACGGCTGCGGCAGTTGTTGCATAACACATGTCCGTTACAACATTGCCAACCAGGTGGACGAATAACCTAGATTGAAAGAAAGAGTAAACGATATTATAAATACAAATTTAGTTAGTTTGTACTATAGATGCAAGCTAGATTTTACAAGCTTATAGCGCTGTTTGTGGTTTGCTGAATTTGTTTTTAAGTACATATATGTGTGTATATTTGTTTTGCTATTTCCAAATATTATAAAATTAATTATATTAAGTAAGCACGCAGTGCTGACATGCAAATGTTCCAACACTCAAATACATTTGCATGTTCAGCTATATAAAGACTAAATACGTACTAAACAAATGAATGAATGTACAAATTTACAAATCGCAATTACATGAATTAATTAGCATTAGTTGTAATATTGAAAGCTCAGTGGTGCCATTGACATAAAATCCACAACACATTAAACATACAGTTAGAGTAATTAAATGCACGCACTCATATTTACATACATATTGTTCCCATCATAACTAAATTCACTCACATAAGTACTTATTTACAAGATTTGACTATATGTTTTATTTATTTAAAAAAAAATTTTTTTTTTAATTATAGTTAATTCTTAAGAAACCATATAAATCCAATTTGCAAT